TTAGTTGGGGAGGGAAACGTCGACCAAAGTCGAAGAAGGCAATAATAGTCTAAAAAGAGTAAGCAACAACAACTTGAAAAAACCCTCATTAAGTTGATAAGTGGTGTGGCTTCTTCTCCCCTAAGGGTATTTATAGGTAAAATTTTGGACAAATAAAATTAAAATTTTGGAGGTTTTTTTTTTCTAGCGAAGTCGTGGGCACAAAAGAAATTATTGTGTTTGGTGTCCGAACGTGAGTTGTGTCAGAACAATGGATGCGATACAATGGAGGTTCGAGTCCCGTTGTAATGTGTCCGTTATCTGGACACAGCTCCGCGTCCGGACACTAGAGGCAATATTTTTTTCCGGCGCACACACACTTGCATGCACGTGATCGTGCGTACAAGAATGGTTCCCCAACCAAACCTTGAGCCACATGCACCTGCATGTTTACAACTGCATGTGTACCCACTGCTGCAAGTATGCTCGCACTCCCTCTTGCCATCTAGCTACCCGATGCATGCCCACTCACCCACAGACTGGCGCACATGTGTGTGCACCTGTTGCCACTTGTGGACACATTGTCACTCGCAGACCAATGTGTGCATTGTTGTGCAAGCACTCCCAATGTAGTGCTTGTGCTGACATCCCCACATTGACTCACACTCATCCACGTACCTTGATACTCTCTAAAACACATCATTACACTTTTTTTCTCTTATGGATGTATATGTGCATTTGAGCATGCATGCCTTCACACTCAGGCATGTACAACCATCATTGATAGTGTTAGTGACAAAATGATCCTATTTTTCAGAAGTGTAAATTTCACCTGTTTTTGGCATTCTTGACTCAATTTTGGCATTTTTTTTGGTATTTTCAAGTCCTCATGAAGCAACTTACAGTAAATTTGGATAATTTGAAATGTCAAAAATTCTCATTCCAATAAATGTATAAATTTTTGGAATATCAATATTATTATCGAGAATTTTTCAACGACTTATATTTTCAAAAGATACAAGCATCAACATCAAAAAATTGGAGGGAAGTTGATGTGTTATCAATATAATTTTTCATCAGACATGAATCTTGAATCATTTTGAAGAAGATACATTCCACATTATAATTTATGATCATTAAAGCTACAATTTCATCAAATTTATAATCAAATTAAGCATCTCAACAAGAAGAACCCAATGACTATAAATTGGTTCAATTTGGGTCCGATCAAGCTATTTAAGCATAATTGAAGGCTTTGGATCATTAATTGTATGGTCAAATGAACTCTAATTTTAACATATTTATAATCAAATCAAGTATCTCAACAAAAGGGATCTAGTGAGCCTAAGATCATTCATTTCTTAGGTCATTAAGACACTCAAATTTTTAAGAAATCATTTATGATCAAGGGATATCAACATATACAGTCCGATTAGATGGTTAGAATAGTTATAAACAAAAAAGATTAAAATGCCCCTGCCCGTAAAACTACAAATAATTTTCCCTCTTCTCTTGGAGAGAAGGAGAGGAAGAAAAGGAAGTGAAATTTTAGTGTCAGTTCAAAAGAGAATACCTGACGAGTAACCACCAGACACTGTAATCGTCACCCACCATCGACCATCGGACTCCATAGCCACTATCGGCTAACGCCCACCGTCCCCACCAATGGTCGTCAACGACGACATCCAACCATTGTAACCTAAACCATCTTAAACTAACTACGATTGTTTTTAAACTTCCTAACACTTGTATTTTTTGACAAGTGTAGTTTCATGTATGAAACTATAAACTCGTTCTCCCGATTGTGAGAGAAGGGTGTACCCTTATACTTACACACATATAATGTAAAATTAAAAAAAAATAGCTTTAATTTTACTGCTTTTCCTTTTTAGTATTTCCATATAAAAAATCTTGGTGTTTGCTATTGCTACTTTTGTTTTATCTACGTGTGTGTTGTATCTTTATGCAACATTAAGACATTAAATTACCACTCTACTGCTGCGAATATTCTAGTATGCAACAATAATAATTCAACTTGATTCATAAATAATGTTTGCAAAAACAAACTAAATTGAATCACTCAGAAATTTGGCAAAATAACACTGTTAAATTAAAGTTTACATTGACCAATATGAGATGTAAAATTTAAAAAGGAAATCATTTTTTTTCATTTATTAGTCATATGAGTCTCTAAGAAAATAATGCAAAAATACAAACTTTATATATATTAACAGAGATTGAGAGAGATCACACAATAAAAGCTTTCAAAAATTGGCATGAGATGAGCATTTTGATTTCTTCACATAAAATTCCAATAGGTTTTACAATGAACACTAAATGACAGTTTCTACAAGATATCATGTAGATTCTCTGAATTTGTGTTTAGTGCACTTTGTGATCTTAAGATTGTATCCATAATTAGTCAAAAATTAGAAAACACCTAAGAATTCAATATCATAATAGCATTATATAGATTGTATTTACAATTCAGTGATCATACTTAAGAACGCAATTTAAGAAAAAAAATAGAGTAGCAACAAATTCACAATGGATGCTTAAGAAGATCATATAAGTATATTCCAATGGATAGTAATCTTATAGAGGTATCATAGTAAAATTTAAAATTTAATATACAACAAATTCTATTATGCAACATTTTGGTGATTAAATTATTTTCAATAGTTTGGTAAAGTAAAATTAGCAATTTAATAGACAAAATTTTGATTTACTTAAAAATATACTTATAATGGATTTCAATTGCGCTTATCAACCTTGAATCTTTGGCTAATCAAGCTCAAATGATTCACAATTAAGAACATCCAAACAACAGACATTTATCCCACTAAGTCGGGTTTGCTACATGAATCATTTTCCTCCATTGTGTTCTATTTAGTGTCATATTTTTAATTAATTCTCATAGATTAAAATCATTTTTTTATACAGAAAGCCCAAGTCTCTTTAGTCTTTATACAAAAAGCCTGACCTCTCACCTCCAAATTACCTCAGCCTTTCTTACCATAAGTGAAATCTAAAACATCTACTCTCCTAACATAATCATTATATGGTTGTTGTTTAATGTGACTAAACCATCTAAGATGACTCTCTCTAATCTTGTCTGCCACTGGAGCTACACCAACCCTTTTGCCGATATATTCCTTACGTATTATATCTCTAAAAATAAAGTCATTCATCCAATTAAGCATTCTCACATCAACACACTTGACTTAGTTATGCTTTTCTTTTATAGACCAACATTCTGGAACATAAAGCATTACAAGTCTCACCACCATCTTATATTTTTTTCTCAAATTCAATGTGATTATTTTCTATCACATCAACCATCCAACTTGAATTCTACTAAAAACATTGTCATCTATATCACCATCACTTTCAACAATAGACCCGATATATTAAAAACATTCACTATTTTTATGACATAATCACCCATTGTTATAACTCCGCCACCATATCTACTTATATATTAAAAACATTCACTACTTTTATGACATGATCACCCATTGTTATAACTCCGCCACCATATCTACTAGTACTAAAATTGCATTCCATATATTCAACTTTAGATCTACTCAAAATAAAGCTTTTAGACTCTAAAGTTCACCTCCACAATTCAAGTTTTTCCTAAACTTTTTCTCTAATCTTATCCACAAGAAGAATATTATTTGTGAAAAGCATACACTAAGATACACCCTCCTATGAATGTCCTGTAAGAACATAAATAACTAAAGCAAAAAGATATGGGCATAAAGACGGTGTCTTATGTAATCGAACTGAAATAAGAAAATATTTGGCCAATCATTACTCTGTTCAAACACAGGTATCATCTCTAATATGCATATTTTTAATGACTTGAACATAAACCATATCAATACAATTCTTTTCTAGGACTCTCCAAAATACTTTTCTTGATACCTTATGAAAAACTTTTATTTTGAATAAAAAAATCATACTAAATGCTCCTTACTCTCTTTGTACATCTCCATCAAACCTTTTAATAGATGTACAACTTCCATAGTAAACTTCTCCGACATAAATCAAAACTGATTTTGAGAAATCTTTGCATCATGTCTTTATCTGTGTTCAGTTACTCTTTCCCATAATTTTAATGTGGGACGCATTAACTTAATTGGCTTATAATTTATACACTCATGTGCATCCTCTTTATTCTGAAAAATAAGGATCAAGATACATTTTCTCCACTCCTCGGAAGTTTTTAAAATAGTATTAAATAATTTAGTAAACCAAGACATTCTTAAATCCTCTAAATATTTACATACTTCTATTGGGATACCAGTAGGTAGGCCCTATTGATTTTCCATATTTCATATTTTTTAAAGCCCCCTCATCTTCTACTTTACTAATGTGATGGTAAAACTAAAAAAAATATTATTATTGACAATATTAACATTACGAAAGTTGATTATGTACTTTAAATCTTTATTAAAAAATTTATCGAATTATCTCACCCACCTATGTTAAACATACTCATATAAGAAAAGTGTTTTTTAATTTTCATCCTTGATACAATTTCCTTGAACTAAATCTTCGCTTTTCTTCTTATTTTTTTAATTTGGTTAGCTTATACACATCCCTTTCATCATCTTCAATATAATATCTAATATATTATAAAGATTATCAAAATCAGAATTCTCACAAATTTAATAACACCTAAACACAATAGACTACTCAACCCCATATCTCTTTTTGAAACGTTGAAAGTGTTGAATTCATTACCTTGAGATTTAGCAAAGGTCCTCACCCACAAAATCCTCTACTATGGCACCATTCAAAAATCATTGCACAACAAAACCATAAAAAAATTAACAAATTGCCTTCTTCCGTTTGTATTTTAAATGAAACTAATTAGGAGACTAATCATTCCATGCCCCCTACTAATTAGGAGTCTAATAATAAGAGATTAACAACACCTTTTGACAATTTTCTTGGTAAAACAAAAATTACGAAATAAAATTATTTTGCAAAGATAAAATTGTTTAACAAGTTTCATAATGAAGCAAAGCAATATTTCTTACATCCATGGAGAAATACACGCCAAATGATCTCGTTGGGCTTCAATGGCATTCCACTGATCACAACCTCCGCCTCTTTTATCCGACCAAAGCTGCACAGCAGATCCACCACACCTACATAGTGATCCATCTCTGGCTCGACTTCATAAACCCATCTCATCCGATTAAAGATTGTCATCCCTTCTTCCACAAACCCACCATGTCTGCAAGCCGAAAGGATTGAGATGAATGCCACACTGTCCGGCACAAACCCTTCTTCTTCCATCAGCCGAAACTTCTCCAGTGCTTCAATTGTACGCCCATGAAGTCCCAGCCCTGAAACCAGAGCTGTCCAGGACACGAGATTTCGGTCCAGCATTTCGTCAAACACAGCTACAGAGCTCTCAAGGCAGCCACATTTAGCATACATGTCAAGCAGCACGTTCTGAACGAATACCTCGCCGCTCCCCGCGTCCACTTTGAAGATCAGGCCATGGAGGCTGCGACCCAGATCGATGGCGCTGATTCTAGAACAAATGGTAACGAGGCTCACGACCGTATAGTTATCGATGACAAAGCCGGATGCTTGCTTTTTTCTGAAAAACTGGAAAGCCTCTGAGTAATTTCGATTGTATGCATGTGAAGTTAGAAGAATGTTGCATGAAATGTTATCAGGAAATTTCTGCTGCAAAATGAGATCTTTTGCCTCTTCGAATTGATTTCTTCTGTTATAAATGCAAGCAATTGTGTTCAACGAAGCCACATGAAATGGCGTCAATGAAGCCGCACATGCCAGCGCGTCAGAAAAATGTCCATGAGAAGCATAGGAAGAGATTACCGAACTGGATACGTAGTCATCATTTTCGTAGCCTGCTCTTATTATGAAAGAATGGATCTGTGCAAGATCTGAAACTGAGGCTGATTTGAGTGCGGAGGAGAAGGTAGACTCGTTCGGTCGAAGCTCTGTGGCCAACATTTCTTTAACAAGGAGAAGACAGGAAGCGAAGGGGTCTTCATTTGTGTATCCTGATATTAGAGCATTCCAAGAAACAACATTTTTGTCGGATATGTCTGTGAAAGCCATAAATGCATCGTCTAATCTGTGGTGTTTCGCGTAGAACTCGACCAATGAGGTTCCCACATAAGCACCAGAGTTCAGATTGTGTTTGATGGATTTGGCATGAATGAGCTCTCCATGCTTTCCTGAGCCAGTTTTAGTGAATGCGCAAAGCATGCCAGTGAAAGTGATCTCATTAGGTGAAAAACCTTCCGAGGACAATGAGAAAAAGAGCTCCATGATTCTATCAGGTCTGTCGCTGTTTGCCTTGGCGGTTATAAATGTGTTCCAGGTAATCAAATCCTTGGCAGGCAGCAAAGAGAAGAAATTATCCACTACAATCAATGGAAAGCAGTTGCAGTATGCATTCAGTAAAGCATTGGAGACAAGCATGGATGAACCAAAGAAAGTTTTTATGGTTAAGCCATGAATCTGTTCTGCAAGTTCAGAGCTCTTATGTGAGCGGAAAGCTTTGAGAATGCTAAGGAAGGAACAATCTGTAAGCCCAATTCCAGCTCTCATGAGTTCTCTAAACCAACACATGGAATCCAAGTCGAGGCCTTGGCGAGAGAATGCAATGATTATGCAGTTCCATGTTAGGACGGTTGGTTCAGGCATTTCATTAAACAGCTTTACTGCGCTATCTAGTTTCCCGTTTCTCCCAAGAACATTTAACAACGCTGTAGTGGATAAGAAGTCGGGGTGAAGAAGTCCGGACTTGAGGATCAAAGTGTGGAGTTGGATGGCTTGGGAAAGTTGGAGGTGTGACGAAGAAGACGAGAGGATGGGAGCAAATGTAAAGCGGGAGGGACTAAATCCGCCGGCCCTCATCCTGGAGAGCATTGCCAATGCCTTGTCGGCTTCGCCGCTGCGGCAAAGGGCGGAGATGATTGAATTGTAGGAGACGGAGTTTCTTTGAAGCATTTGGTCAAACACTCGTCGGGCGGATACGATGTCATCTTCAATCGCGTAAGCAGTGATGAGGGAATGGTGAACGGAGATCGGAGCAGCGGGGCCGTAGGTGATAGAGAGAGCGTGAAGGGATTTGATTGCTTCCGGTGATGGCGACGAAGAGAGGAGATTAAGGGCATCGGTGTAGAGAGATTGAAGTGGGTGGTGGAGACGAGGCTGTGAGGTGCAGTAGTGGACGGCCAGGATCTTTTTTGCCCCAGGATGGACGGCACGAATTACCTGTTGGTTTTTAAAGTGCAGGATTCGAGAGAGAAAATACATATATCGACGGAAGCCAGCGTCATCTACAGGAGATTTGGATCCTCGCCATGTAATTTGCAGCCTCAACACTTTATGTTATTAATCTTATAAATGTATTTTGATTTGAGAGAGAAATTACATAAATATTGATTGGAATTAATTATATCTAATTTTATTTTATCTACTGAAAAATTTTAAATTAAATTTCTAATGAGATGATAGCTGTGCATAATGCAATAGTTGATGCAACTTGGAATCTATCCATATTATATGCTATATTCATAGTATAGATGCTTTACTAGGATGTGGTCTGGATGCCTTCGCAAGTTTGGAATGACTAAGGGTGCTTTTGTTTCAGCTGTAGTTGTAACTGTAGAAAAGCTTAGTTCAAAAGCTGTTGAAAATCTGTTGTTCAGAAACTCGTGTTTCGGAAGTAGTTGGTTTTTTTAAAAACAATTCTGAAAGTGATGTCGTTTATTAATGACTGTAAAACCCTCAATATGTCAACAAATTTTTTTTGAAAACGTAATTTTGTATTGCATTTTTCTGTTTATCAATGCATTAAAAATTTGTGTAGTCTCTATGTTAATTTTTTTAGACATCATACAATCTATAATTATAAGCAGTAAACACACAAATATTCAATCAACATTGCTAAGTAAGATCAAATTCTAAACATCATTTGATGTGTGGATTGAAAAAGACAATACTTGATGACAATGAATGGTTTCTAGATGTTCTCAATCACATGTGATTTCAAATGAATTTCACTTTTTTTTTAATTAAAACATATTCAAACTTGTAATGTATGCAACCTTCATTTTTGGGACTGCACATAAGTATCATAAAAGCTCATTGTAAGCTTGAACAAGCATCTGTTGGTTGTTAAACCTAAAACCACATAAGAATTGAGTGGTATGCATGTAAATGGCCCAAAAAACAAACAACTGATGCTTCCCCTAGAGGGAAATTTGAAACAAATGAACACATCAGGAGAAATGGATCCTTTCCAAGACCAGTACCAACAACAATGTATTCAAACCCTTCCCACTTCTTAACTTCACCAATTACCTTGTAAATAAGCAAAATGTATTGAATTGTATCACTAAATGCAAACCGAGTAACTTACCATAATGTTGAACTATGAAGTGGAAAGTATTGAGAGAAATGAGTTTATCAAATAAATTTTTTTTTTTACGTAGATGTTGTGAAAAATTATGGCAATAAAGAGAAAAATCAGATCGAGAAAAATTCGCAAATAGAAACCACAGCGGAACACGTAGATTTACGTGGTTAGGCAAATTGTCTATGTCCACGGAGTTGCAGAGGATTTTATTAGCTTGAGGAATTACACCGTTGAATTTCTCTATGTTTATAAGAAAAACCCTCTTCCTCTTTCTCCTCTCCTCTCCTCTCTCTCTCTCTCTTCTCTCTCCTCTGACTTTCTCTCTCCCTTCCTCTCCAGCCGCAATCAAGACGTAACCAAGTAGAAAGAAATTAAAAACAAGGGAAATCACACCCGTAAGAAGAAAGCTAAAAGGAGAGATTAAGGTGCGGAGAGATTAGGGACTTCCTTAAGGCAGGGATTAAGTTGGATTAGGAATTTATAATAAGTCAGAAGAGGCATATTATGAAATGGAGAAGCTTCATGGGAGAAACTTCACATGATTTCATGTGAGCAGAATTGGCGGGGACCTTGGAGAGGTGTTTAGCGGGACCGCGTGAGGAGGGAAGCTTTGGCAGGATTCTTAATTAGAAAATTAATTAATAACAATAATCAACAATTTAATTACTGCTAAAATTGCAATGGATCGGGTCTCCACATACCTCAATAATTCTCCCACTTTGAGCCTAGGACACTAGTTACATCATCATTTTCCTCAAATATGATATCCTCCACCTCTACAGCTCAAAGCCTCTATCTTCAAGCTAAAAAACCAACTGAAGTTGCACACAACTTCAGTTTCTCAAGAATGTCACACTTAGTTGACATATCACCGTCAACATAATCTTGTTCTTCCAAGCTCTTTCCCGTGTTACTCATGTATCTACTAACAAGTCCCACTACATTAGCAATATCATGCCTCTGCTGAAAGCTTTTTTCAACAAGTCCAATCTTGCACCTCTTACTGCCATCAAGCACAGTCTTCACCTAGTACTCCCACTTGTTGTGCAATGCCTTCTTTCTTGGTGGAAATTTTGTCAGCTCCCACTTGTTCGAATTTTTATCTGGCAAGATTTCTTCATAGCTTTGTGGTTCTCCACCATCTGTTTGTACAAGATCCGGTTTTTCTTCCTTTGGCACTCTGTCATTTTTCATGAAACTGACTTTCTTTTGCTTCCTCATAATGCACCTCTAGCTCATGTGTCCACGTCTGACTAAACATGTATTCATATATAGTGTATCAGTTTTCTTACCCCGGACCAGTACTAATGTTTCTTTAGTAACCTTCCAGCTACTATCTGAGAACATTACTGAATAAGCACTCTCATTGAGCTGCACAACATAAATGAGGTTTTTCTTCAACTCAGAAACGTGTCTGACCTTTTGTAAAGTCCATTTTCTCTTGTTAGAGACTGCAACATCAACGTCTCTCATCCTCACTACGTCCAAAGCTTTTTCATCAGCCAGATATACCTTCCCAAAATTACCTGCAACATAGTTTGCATTAACTCCTAATGGAAAGATGTATGGAAGGAAGCCCCTAAATCTAGTATCCAGTCATCAAGAGAACTGTGAACTGTCAGCAATAACACATCCTGTATCTCTTCAGTTACCACATTTGCGTTATTATTCTCTTTCTTCTTAGGATTCTTGCAGTTCCTTTTTATGTGACCAGTCTTGCCAGGATTCCAGCAGGTTATCTGTTGAACAGACTTTGATTTTGATCTTCCTCTATTTAAGTTCCTGTCTTGTAATGTCCCTCTGGAATCAACAATCAGTGCAAAACTCGAACCCGAGGTCTCGCCAGAATCTTTTTTACGCACCTCCTCAGCTAAAATCAAATCATGAATATCATCATATTTCAGTTTAAATTTTCCTGCAGAATTGCTAACTGTCTTCCTCATGACTTCTCAGCTATTTGACAATGAAGTCAGCAATATCAACGCACTTATCTCATCATCAAAATCAATTTCAACAGACGATAATTTATTTGTGATAATATTGAAATCATCCAGCTGTTGAGCAACAGACACACTTTCCGTCATCTTTAAGTTGAATAACTTTTTCATCAAATGCACATTATTATTAACCGATGGATTTTCATACATACCTGATAAAGCCACTGTTAGATCTGCAGTAATCCTCTCTTTGATGCGTTGTGGGCAACTGATCTTGATAGGGTTAATTGAATAACCTGCAGAACTTGTCAATTCAACAGATTCCATTCCGCCTCGTCTATCTTTTCCGACTTCTTTCACAGTAACGATAGGTAAAGTTTCTTTCCAAAGAGGTTGTCCTCAATTTGTATCCTCCAGTAACCAAAATCTGTGTCATTAAACTTGTCAATCCCATATGCCATCACTTCATCTCCATTCAGTGCTTTTCTTTCAACCTCGAACCAAAGCTCTGATATCAGTTGTTGTGAAAAACAACGATAATAAAGTTAAAAATTGGATCAAGAAAAATTCACAAATCAAAACAATATCAGAACACACAGATTTATGTGGTTCGGCAAATTGCCCATGTCCACGGAGTTGCAGAGTATTTTTTTAGCTTGAGGAATTATACCGTTGAACGCCTCGACGGTTACAAGAAAGACTCTCCCTCTCTCTTTCTCTCTCTCTCTTCCTCTTTCTCTCCTCTCCTCTCTCTCTCTTCTCTCTCCACTCACTTTCTCTCTCCCTACCTCTCCAGCCATAACCAAGCCGTAACAAAGCAGGAAGAAATAAAAAACCAGGGAAATCAAACCCGTAAGCAGAAAGCCAAAAAAAGAGATTAAGGAGTTCCTTAAGGCAGGGATTAAGTTGGCTTAGGAATTTATAATAAGCCAAAAGAGGCATATTAGGAAACAGAGAAGCTTCACGTAGAAAACTTCACACGATTCTGTGTGAGGAGAATTGGCGGGGACCGTGGAGAGGAGTTTGGCCGGACCACACGAGGAGCGAAGCTTTGACCGAATTCTTAATTAGGAAGTTAATTAACAGTGGTAATTAATAATTTAATTACTACTAAAATTTTAGTGGATCGGGTCTCCACATATCTCAAAGAACACTAGCAGAGGATTTATATTGTTTTGAAAAATGACGATAATAAGATGAAAAGTTGGAACCAGAAAATTCACGAACAGAAAAGCATAGCGAAAACACACAGATTTACGTGGTTTGACAAATTGCTTATGTCCACGGAGCTGCGGAGGATTTTATTACTTTGAGGAAGTACATCGTGGAACGCGTACATCGTTGAACGCATCGACATACAAGAAAATTTATCTCTCTTCCCTTTTTCTCCTCTCTCCCTCTCTCCTCTCTCCCTCTCTCCTCTCTCCTCTCTCCTCTCTCCTCTCTCTTTCCCGCTTGAGCCTCGTGAGAAGATAAATTGAACAAAAGAAAACCAGGTTTTCTTTTCTCTGCCAGCAAATCGAAACAACACTGGCAGAGAATTTTTATTGTTGTGAAAAATGACAGCAATATAACAAGGACACTTGCAGAGGATTTATATTGTTGTGAAAAACAAAAGTAGTTAACAGTTTGGTGAGGCAAGATGCCTCACCGAAACAATACTAGCAGAGGATTTATATTGTTGTGAAAAATGACAGTAATAAGGCAAAAAATTGGAACGAGAATATTCGCAAACAAAAAAGCACCATAGAAACACACAAATTTACGAGGTTCAACAAATTGTCTACATCCATGGAGCTGCATAGGATTTTATTACTTTGAGGAATTACACCGCCGACCGCGTCGATTTACAAGAAACTTTCTCTCTCTGTCTCTCCTCTCTCTTTCCTCTCTTAAGCCACGTAGAAGATAAATTGAACTTTTTTTCCCTGCCAGCAAACCAAAGGGAAAAGAAAAAAGGAAAGTAACATTTTCTTCCCTTTTTCCTTGCATATTTATATTGAGGAGACTT